AGATGTTGGCCTTCTGCAGTTCATGACCGACAAGGAAAATTGGAATGAAGAGCTTCTGCTACAATTCTATGCTACACTTCACATCCGCGGCTACAACAAGGACATCAAAACTTGGGTCCTTGAGTGGATGACATGCAATGTCCATCATGAAGCCAAAGCTCTTGATATCATTGAGCTTGCTGGCCTGCCCGCTCCAGGTGAACTTTATGAACCTGGTTGTCAGCTTCACCGAAATGCCTTAGAAAGCATATTCCAAAAGCCAGATCCCAACATGAGCCAAATGCTGAGTATGATGAAGCCTCTTCCACAAGATGCTGAATATCCTACGGAATTCTTTGGTGAAGATCTAGAGTATCTGCCCCGCACCATCTATCACATTATCAGGCGAACTCTATGGCCCATCAAAGGACACTCTTCTGCAGCAAAGCTTGAAGGCTCAATGAAGACATTGGTCTTCTATATTCTCAATGGCATCAGCTTTAATGCTTAGGATTTCTTCATTCGCCAACTTGCTGCATCTGGCTCAGATATATTTGGTCTGAAGTTCTATGCTCCATGGGTAATGCGTCTTATCATGCTTCACTCTGCTGTTAACTATCAGCCCTCTGCGCGCAACCATCTCATATTCTTGCCAGAGGTTGACATGTTTGTCGAAGCCATATACCCAGAGCCTACCAAGGAGGCAATTTATCTTCACAATGCCGATCATCAAAGTTTCTCTCAACATGTTGAAGGAGTTCATGTTGCCACTCGTGTTTATCCTTTGGCTGGAAATACACGTGCACCTCGTCGTGCCCGTACTGAAGCCACCGAAAGCACTATTTCTCAAAGGCCTCGGATGACATCTCATGTGCTCAATGACCAAGAGCTTCTCCTGGCCTTGCATCCGAAACAGGATAAGCATCATTTCTGGCTGAAGCGTCAGATGCAGAGTCTCTTGATGGATGTTAATTGCATTCGCAATCTAGCCACCAAGAATGCATTTGTCACTCATGAAACCTATCGGCGTTCGTGGAAGAGTCTGACATTACTCAGTTCTGAAGATGATCTTATGCAAGATGGCTTCACAGAGAGATTCAAATTTGATTCCACTCCTCGCAGGAATGTTGTCTTGCATCGGACTCCTTCACTCGAAGACTCTGAGTACTCCTCTTCGGCAGCAACTGTAAATGTCAGAGTCATCGATGATGAAGACGATGCTACATCGCCAACAACCACTTCATCACGTATCGACACTACACCAGGCCCATCTGCACCACCAAACTCCAACGTCGACCCTGCTCCTTCTGGGAATGAGTAGATGCTCTATGTCTTCAAACCTTTTTGGTCATTACTGACAAAAGGGGAGAAGCATATGAGTTGATAGTCTTCAAGCCGATCCTTATGGGTGGTTGCATTATTTTGTTGCATTATTTTTTGCCAAGTCTTACAACTCTCGTCTTTTGATACATTTGGTTCTCTGAGTTGTAACACTTAAACTTGATGGTCGTCTGCTACTTTACTTGCTATTTTGTGATGCGATTATAAATCCCGCATGAAGTCATTCTGCAGACGTCCATTTGTCATTATGCATATCAATATCTTTGTTACTTCTTATATGCATAATGCATTGTCTTCACACCTTGATGATGGCCTCCACAAAGCAAAACCTGCCATGTGCATTTGCATTCAAACGCAAATAATTTATATGCACATCTTCAGGGGGAGCCTTGTCTTATGTATGAAGACAATACTCACAATACTAAACTTTCACATACTTTTATCCCCATTGAAAACTTCAACCAGTTTGTCATCAATCACCAAAAAGGGGGAGATTGTAAGTGCATCTAGTGCCACCCCTAGTTGGTTTTGGAGTATTGATGACAAACTTGGTTGAGGGACTAATGTGTTTGTGAGAATTGCAGGATAACACAGGTAGTAGTCCCATATTGATTCGGTTTACCTACCAGAGATGACCCCTAAAAATGTGTGAAGACATTGAAGACGATGGTGGTCTTTGAAGACATTCACATTGAAGACTATGACATGAGAAGACATCGCGTGAAGACTATGGAGTGCGAAGACATAGTTGTTTCATAGTTTCCTTTTCTTCTTTGTTGAGTCATAGGAACCACCGTACTATTAAGTGGGGTCCAAGTGAACAAATTCAGAGCGACTGATGTGATGCTCAACCAAATCATATGTCTTCGAGCGAAGACAATGAGAGCAAATCTTATCCAGAGCTGGATGAGTCAGCTTTACTTGTAGCCCAAGTCAAGCTGCCGTGTGTGTTTGAAATCTGACCGTTGGACATGTGTCAGTTCCTTAGTGACCGAGGGTCATTTCAGACATATCAGGTCGGGTTGCCTTCTGGCTATAAAAAGTCCATCCCCTACACCATAAATTGGTGGCTACTCAGAGTTAGTGCACGGCTTTTGTTGTTTGAGAGCAACCCACCTCCGAAGCTTTGAGAGAGAGAATCCTTGCGAGGATAAAGCCCAAAACACCGAGAGCCAAAGAGTGTTAGGCATCACTGAAGTCTTTCTATCTGTGTGATCTGAAGACTTATTACACTTGAGGACTGTGAATCCTCCAGCCGGTTAGGCGTTGCGTTCTGAGCATCCAAGAGTCATTGTGGATTGCCGGTGAACGAAGTCTGTGAAGGTTTGGAAGTCTCCCTTGAAGACTCACCAGAGTGATTGGGCGAGGACTAAGTGTTCTTAGATCAAGGGGAATAAGGTGAAGACGCGGTCTTCTGAGTTAAATCTCAGCCTCCCTAACCAGACGTACAGTTGTCACAACAACTGGAACTGGTCGAACAAATCCTTATCCTCTACGAGCAACTGGTTCTATCCTACCTCTCTTGCTTTACTTACAGTTTGTCTTTGTGAAGTCTTTGCCTACTTGCCTTATCTGTTTGACTTCACTGAGTGAAGACAATTGTCTGTTTGGCTTCATACTATCTTCCATCCTGATCCATACTACCTAGTTGCTCATAGCCTTCGTGCTTTCATTATATTGCTTACTTGACTATGGCTTTTCTAGTATAGTCTACCTTCCGCTGCATATCAATAGGTTCAATTCTATTGTTTGTCTTCAAAACACCGCTGCTTTGAAGACTTTCATAAAAATCGCCTATTCACCCCCCTCTAGTCGAATACTAGCACTTTCACGGGGGACCTCTCGGGTGCTCTCCGCGCCGTCCGATCTACCCTAATGGCGCGAACCTGGGCAACCCGGCTGGGCAGTCCATGATGGGTGGATCGAGGGATGCGTGGGGCCACCGTCATGTGGGTGACCGCGTCGCATGCGCATGCGACATCTCACGCGCTAGACGGGGTCTACGTTGAGTCTGTCCGGCCACACCCCGTGTCGATGGCGTCGTCGCGCGCTCTTATCCATCAGATCACGTCGTCTGATTTGCCTGGATATGACGAGCAACCGAGAGACCCGGGGTGGGCGGTCCATGACGGGTGGACCAATGGCTACACAGGGCAATCATCATTGTGGTGGCTCATGTCGCGCGTGTGCAGCGTCTCGCATGCATGCCCACACGCGAGGGGCCAACCAGACCCGCATGTCAGCCTCTTCGGCACCCCGCGGACTGATTTGGTTGTGCCAAGGAGGGCATGCGTCGAGTCTGTCCGACTATGCCCCGCGTCGATGGCTCCGTGGCACGCTCCTGTCCGCCGGACCTATGCATCTGGTAGGCACCCAGACATTTTTGCTCGGGGGTCCATGGCGCGTGGGGCGCATACGTGACCAGGTCCACATCTCTGGGGTAGTTTTTCTTCGAGCCCACGTGTGCCTCCTCCTCTAGCCATGTCGTTGTCTCAACATGGAGGAATCCGAGGAAGAGGAGGAGGGTGACGATGAACAGGATCCACGGGACGAGGACTACAATGAGATCAACATGTGACAACTGCCAGATGGACCTCCACTCACTCAGTCGTCCCAAATGAGGAAGGGGGCTATAGAGGATAGAGGATCCTTATAGTCCATCGCCGTTCCAGAGAGAGCGTGCTCGAGGCGGTCTCAAACCAAATGAAGACCACGCAAAGAGAGCCGAGGATCGTCTAAACAAGAGGGGAAGAAAGTAATATGGACACTTGCTTGCTATGTAGTATTTTAGAACCTGGTATTTGGTTGCATTGAACTTGGTATGTTGAACACTCTATGTTGAACTTGGTATGTTGAACACTCTATATTGAACTTGGTATGTTGAACTATTTGTGATCAAATTATTTTGTGATGGACAATTGTTGTATGGTGGAATTTGAATGTTATGGTTATACACAATTATATTGTTGTTATACTGAATTATATTGTTATTTGATGTCAACGGTGTGCTAGTCAGAATGGTAAATGAGCTCTGGAGTGGTTACATGGGCCTACCGCCACTTTCCTGGCGATAGGGTTACATGCCCTACCGCCTAAAGAAACATCCGAGAACTTTTAGTATCGTTTAGGCTAAATTTAGTACCCTACCGCCATAGACCTTGGTAATAGGGTTACATGCCCTACCGCCCACAAAAGCCCCCAATCTCTTACCCGCTCAAGATGTCTACCGTCAAGGACGCTGGCATAAGTTTTAATGTGCTAGCTACTTGTCCACGTCAACGAGTGCTGCGACAACGACCATATTTCTACCGCCATAGATCCTGGTGGTAGTACGTTAAATCCTACCGCTGAGGATGATGGCGATAGCAAATGGTCAAATTCGTTTTTTTTAGAATGGGTCCAATCGTTCCAAACTATGCCACAAAGATCAGAACCGTGATTTTGACCGATAAAAGTCGTGCTTACTGTCACAAAGCAATGTGTTGTAGAAACAAACAAGTTTAAAACATCAACGTACATGAACATATCGGAGAGCACTCCACAGCCACAGGAACACGTAGCATCTTTTATACAACTGACCGCCGGCCCGCAAAGCTCACCAAAGCCGACGGATGACATGCAGGGCAAATGAAATTTGTCCGCCAGCCGGACGAGGGAGCAGGGCTGGACGCCTGGTTCGATCAGCGGCTTCTCCGGTAGAGGGAGTAGGCGTTGAGGACGACGAGGAGGACGAGGATGATGGAGGCGACGAGGCCGAGGCAGGTGGCGCTGCCGATGTGGCGGCAGAACTTGTCGTAGATGTTGCAGATCTTGTTCCACCGCGTGTGCGAGTTCCCCTTCAGCCCCACCCAGGCCACGGCCCCCGCCGTGCCCGTCGCCGACGCCATGATGCCCGCGTAAACCTGCCATGGTTACACATAGGATCGTTACATCAACCAGTGGCCTGCGTGCAACTGCACATGTGAGAACAATTCGTTCAAGGTAGAAGATACTCACCACATCAAGCAGAATGAGGACGAAGATCCCCTTGGCACAGGAAGCCGAGCTTGACATGGACTTGACGGAGCTGGCGGCCGTCAGAAGGCTATACAAGCTCGTCATGCACAGCGCCACGAGAAGATAACTGCGAACCATACGTAGACAGGGTACACATAAGCATCAGCAGTCCATGTTTTTATATGCACCGTACCAACGTGGAAGTTTATTAATTCCCGTAGGAGAGGAGAGACGTATGTCACGACGATCGACTCACGTACATGAGCGCTGGCGAGTCTTTGCAAGGGCACGATCTCCGTCTGCTTGGCGGTGACCAGCACGACGAGCCCCGACAGCGAGACGGCGAACAGCAGCACCCTCAGGCCCAGGTCGGCGCCGTGGAGCCAGGCCGGAGAGGACGGCGCCGTCTTCCCGCTGTCCTCCACCGTGCCGGCCATGCCTTCGGTCGGGGCGCGCACTTGTCTATAGCTGGGCGGGGAGTCTGCGGTTTCTGAGCACTAGCAGAGATTCAACGGATTGATCGCCGAGGCGTCGTGGCACGGCAGTGCGTGGTTTTATAGGCTTGTAGCCGCCGCTGGCCCAGGGTGGGGCACGTGCATGAGAATGCACGCTATCAGCCAGTCACTGCCCTTGCCCTTGTTTACACACAGGCTGCTGCAGGTACGCAATGCATGTCTGACTTTGACTTGTAAGTAAGCCCGCGTTGTACGCCAACTTACCACGATCGCGTCCACTATGTTGCAGTCTCATCCACACCGCAAATACTTACGTTTTGGCGCGTTCACGTGCTCTCTTTCTTTAGAATTCAAGCAAGCGCTGGACGCGTTTGGTAGGCTGCATCAAGCCCAACCAGTCTCTCATGGGTTAAATAGTGAGTTGATTGGTTGTCTAGCTTGTATGTAGAAACTGGGCTGCACGAAACTTAAAGTGCTTCCAGCCTGGCTCTCGAGAAACGCTCAGATCAACCGTTTTTCCAGACGCGGGTTGAGAATACGAGCTAGGCTTGATGCAGCAAACCAAACGACATGCAGAACATAGCAAGAGTCTGTATACACTTAAATAGGCTCCGCTAAGCCAAGCTTCACTGAGAAAGTAACCAAATGCGCCCTTGTGCTTTATTGTGTGATGGTATGTCTCCTACCGGCACGGGAGGTGACATCCATATCCACACTGACCCCACTTACTAGCATGCATGGTCATTGGTCTATAGTATATTATCATAGTGAAATGAAAGTTCTACACCGATTGGTCAGTCAGATAAGCAATGCTAATATTGACGTGGCTACCTGTTCTCAAATGTATCCATCGCTTTCACTCGCTGATAGAATTCCCGATTCTGGTTAGGGGTTGCTTATCTAGTTTGTGTTAGTCAACGTGCCCTATCTGACGAACTGGTATATAATGTCTTTTTACTTTCGAAGATGAGAGCAGCCTGGGCTGAGTCTGACTAGAGAAGATTTTGGCTGCCGTGGGAAACTGGGATCCCATCCGGCTGTATTGGTATATTTATACGACGATGCTTGCTCGTATACAGAATTACGACAGGTCGTGGAGATCAGATCGTGATCACAGCAGATCACGTTACAATATGTTAGCATATACTGATATACATATCCTAACACTCCCTCTCAATATCAGCCTCATACAAGGCTAAGATTGTACGTAATCGATTTAAAGAATCACCTTATATTACTAACTCGTTTAGCAAACCTGGCAGCAACTTCTTCTTTTAGATAGGAGGCACATGCCCAGCCTTAAAGATAAGGCCCTAACAAATTCAACCTGTAACCGCTCGTAGGAGCGTTCGGTGGAAACGTATGCCGCTAGGCAGTGACGCCTTCGTGGTCAGGGATTACATCAATTACAGGAAGAGCAAATGAACAGACTCTCAAGGAAACCATCCAGGACGGAGGACAGTCAGCGGGAGCGGCGGCGGCAATTTTCGATGACTGCTATCACTATGCTTGTGATTTTCCGACTTCGGTTTGGTTTGAGGAGCCTATTAGTGAAATTGCAATGTTTCTCATAAACGATGTATTGGTTATTGCTAATGAATAAAATTTCATTTTAATTCAAAAAAAAAATAAACAGACTCAAGGAAACTGAAGGAGCTTTCTAGGAGTAAATTGTACAAAACCATCACTTTAAAGGTTCTGGTTTGCAGAAAACACTACGCTACATTTGTTTGGCAGAAAACACCATCTCTATGGTAATTGTTTTGCAAAAGTCACTGATCGACGGATTAGAATGTTTTAAGTATGTTTATGACAGGTGGGTCTAGATTTTGCCGACGTGGCTAACGGCTCTGCCGAAACAGCGTTAGGTGAGGGATTTTACAAGGAGGCCCTTACATCAAAATCAAAAAAGCAATCGGCTCCATGGACGAGCTCTTCTTCGCGGGCGGCGTGGCCGCGCCAGCGATGCAGCCCAAGCGAAGAGCTCCTCTTCGCGAGCGGTGTGGCCGCACCGGCGACGTGGCCTCAACGAAGAGCTCTTCTCGGCGGGCAGAGTTGCTCGTTGTGGGCGGTGTGGCCACCGCAACCGAGGAGCTCTTCTTCGCGGGAAGAGATGGTCGTCGCAGGTGGTGTGGCCACGCCGGTGAGGTGACGGCGTTTGACGTCAAGGGCGGCATGGACAACGACCAGCTCTTCTTCATAGGCAGAGATGGTCGTCGCGGGCGGCGTAGCCACGCCAGCGAGGCGGCGACGTCCTTGGCGCTCGTTTCGGGCGGCTGCGACTCAGGGCTGATCCGGGCGAGCAGGACGATTAGAGGGAGGGGGAAGCAGTCAGAGGGCAGTCTGGGCTTGCTGGCGAAGCGGCGACATCCATGGTGCTCGTTCATTGCGTTGTGGGTTGTGCGACTGCGACACAAGGTCAATCCGAGCGGCCAGTAGGAGTAGAGGAAGGAGAGAGAAGCTGGAGGGGCTGCTGAGCTTGCCGGCGACGCCGGCTGTGATGATGCAGTCTAACTGTGTGACGGCGGTCGGGATCGGGCGTGGGTGGCGGCATGCCTGGGTTCCACTTCCACCATGGGAAAGGGGATAGAGACAGGGAGTTGACTTTATCGGTGAGAGAAACCGATGAAAATTGGAGAAGAAGATCCAGCTGACAGGTGGGGCCCGTGTCCGGTCTGACGCCATTTTACACCACGTCGGCAAAATCTGGACCCACCTATCATAAACATACTTAGAACACTCCAATCTACCGATCAGTGGTTTTTTGCAAAAGGATTACCGTAGAGGTGATGTTTTCTGCCAAAAAAATATAGCGTAGTATTTTCTGCAAACCAAGCGTTTGAAGTGGTGTCTTTATGCAATTTACTCAACTCTCTAGAGTTCTCTAGACTTAACCCACTACCGATCCATTATATCATTGGGTCGGTTACATAAATGATCTAACACACACCCTCAATGTCAACTTCCCAAGTTGAGATTGCGCCTAAAGTGTTCCAGAAGTCCAATAGGCAAAGGTTTGGTAAACCCATCAGCCACTTGATCTTTGGAGGGAATGAAGCGTATCTCAAGCATATTTTGAGCCACCCTTTCTATGACGAAGTGAAAATCAATCTCAATATGTTTAGTTCTTGCATGAAAGACTGGATTAACTGATAGGTAAGTAGCACCAACATTATCACACCACAAGCAAGGTATTCTATGTTGAGGAATTCCAAGTTCCTTTAACAAAGACTGAACCCAAATGATTTCAGCAGTAACATTAGATAGAGATTTATACTCTGCTTCTGTGCTGAATCTTGACACAATAGTTTGCTTTCTTGAACTCGACGGGATTAAGTTTTGGCCCAAAAATACGGCAAAACCTCCCGTGGATCTTCTGTCATCCGTGCAGCCTGCCCAATCTGCACCAGAGAACCCACTAACCAATAGAGACGAAGATTTTCTGAATGTTCTACCGAGTTCAATGGATCCCTTAATGTATCTTAGGATACGTTTCACGGCTGTCCAATGGGCACTAGCGGGTGCATGCAAAAACTGATACACTTTATTAACTGAGAAAGCAGGATCAGGATGTGTGAGAGTCAAATATTGTAAAGCTCCCACAATATTCCTATACCTTGTTGAATCTTCAGTATCAAGAGGTTCTCCTTCATGAGCTGATAATTTTTGAGTTGCAGACAATGGTGTTGAACTAGGCTTGAAATTTTCCCTATTGACTTGTTGAAGTAGCTCTTTGGCATACTTGGTTTGGGTAAGAAGTAGCTCATCATTTTTCCGCCGTACTTCAATTCCCAAAAAATAATGTAACTCCCCCAAATCGTTGAGAGCAAAATCTGTCCACAAGTCATGAAGAAGAGCTTGCACATCATCTTGTGAGGAGCTTGTTACAATAATATCATCAACATAGACTAGAACAAAAATAGTGATACCTCCTTTGTGAAAGATGACCAGTGATGCATTTGATTTAGAAGGGGTGAAACCAAGTTGTTGTAGTTTTATACTCAGCCGCGAAAACGAAGCCCGCGGTGCTTGCTTAAGACCATAAAGAGCTTTGTTAAGCTTGCAAACAAAATGTGATCTTTTGGTGCTTTCATACCCAGGGGGTTGTCATAGATACACTTCTTCTTATAGAATTCCATGAAGGAAAGCATTCTGAACATCAAGTTGATGGAGACAGCATCCATGAGAAACTGCAATAGTGAGAACAAGTCAAATAGTGTCTACTTTGACCACTGGGCTAAAAGTATCTTCATAGTCTAACCCATACCGTTGCTTAAATCCTTTTGCAACAAGGCGAGCCTTATACCTGTCTATGGAGTCATCTGCTTTTCTCTTAACATGGAAGACCCATTTGAAATCAATTATATTTTTACCTTGGGGCGGAGGAACAAGACACCTTGTTTCATTTTTTTGTACTGCCATATATTCCTCATCCATAGCACGCCGCCAATTTGCGTCGCCAAGAGCTTCAGAGGGGGTTTGAGGTTCTCCCGTAGAACATAAATTTCCATATTGAATCATCCCAGGGTATAAATTTTTAGGTTGTATAATCCCTTGTTGGAATCGAGTTTGTATGCGTCGTGGAGCAGCGGTCTGCCCAGGATCACTAGGCGCAGAAGATCCAGAAGAGACCGAGTTTTGGGTGCTATCTAGATCGGCCTGTCCACATGGGTTGTTCGCAGTGGATGAGCCATTTGATTGGGCTGAGCCACTGAGGATGACTCAGTGGAATTAGGAGAGGCCTCTGTCGGGCCTCGTGGCGTAGTCCCGGTTGGGAAGCACTAAAAATGAAGTGAGAAGGATTTGTTGCCGATTGTGGGTGCACTGGTACGTGTCGGTGCTATACAAACGATTTTTAACCCCTTTCGGCGACAACATTCGGAACCATCGCCAAGTGAGTGTGGGTGATAGGGGGGTCCTTCCCACATGATCCAGAAACCGTTGGGGATAGGCCCTCCTGGCACACAAGCTGGCTCATGTGC